ATTTATTGACGTTGCTCTGTGGGTGAGTTGAGCTAGGAAAGGATGCCTGCATTGCAGCATCTCTCTGGGTTTGCATTGTCCTCTCTGCCCTCCCAGTAGCTTGGGGATCGCTAGGGCATCCATAACATTTGTGGGCCTGACCCACCAGCGGAGGTCCTGGGCCATCAGATGGACATCTCTGCTCATTGCAAAGCTCCGACACCCACAGTGGACTCCACTGCACTTTTGCCAACTCAGGCCACAACAGCCTCCCAGGCCGAGCCCCTCTGGGAAGAGCCGCTCCAAAGCCTGGCCTGGTTCTTTCAGCTGCTTCGGTTTACTCAACTGTCTGCAGCATTCCTGCCTCCATGACATCCACCAGGTGCCTAGATTGGTTACACCAACTCTCCAGGCCTTGTTGGGCACAGACACTGCCTGAGCATTGTTTCTTATTGTGCACAGATAGAGTCTGACATCTCACTGCCCCACAGTCCCTGGCTGCTTATCAGGGGGCACTAGTGGCTTGTGGTTAAAGGAACCTCTTGTCCCTAGCTATGGCTCAGTCACTAATGATCTCCACGCCCAAATAGAAGCAAGAGAGTCTTGCTTGAAGCAAACATAGCAAGGCGCAATATCACAGTGTCCCAGGGCTTTATCAAACTATCAGGCCCTTACAAAGATGCTCCTCAATCAGTGTTACTGGTATCTCTGCCAACAACAGTCGGTGTCCCAGCATCATGGAGAGTCGTGGAGCCGTCTCACTCGCCACAGTGTCTGGTCTGGGGGGGCTCTCCAGGTCGAGGCAGAAGATCACTCTGAGAGGGTGCAGTGACTCGAGCCAGCCGGATGGATCGATCGCTGCCTAGGTTCAACTCCGTTCTGGAATGGATTCAGGAGATGTTCTTCGTTCCACGGCTTGTACTCCCAAATTCAGGCTCCTGCATTACTCATTTATACAGTATCCCAAATACCCTAGGTATTTCTGGTGCAGCATATACTGTTCTGTATCGACCTGCTTCTGGCTTCACTTAGTGACTCCTGATTCACACCGGAGTGAGAGGAGAATCAGGCCCAGTGGGATGACTCCTGATTCACTCCAGCGTGAGTGAGGGGGAACCAGGCCCAGTGGAGTGACTCTTGATTCACACCAGTGTCAGTGAGGGGGGGAATCAGGCCCAGTGGGGTGACTCTTGATTCGCACCGGGGTGAGTGAGGAGGGATTCAAGCCCCCTGTTAATTCAGTCATAGCCTGAACCCATGTTTTAAAAAGTTCGGCTAACTTGGTTAAAGCACCGTGCAGACTGACTTCCCGGATTTACTGGTGCTGGGTCTGGCCAGTGACCCAGGTCAGAACAGCACAATTACCATGTCCTCACACCTTATCCTAGCAGTGAAGTGGCCTGCGTCCATGACCTTGTGTTATTTGCCTGTCAGACCCTCAGCCATGCACATCAGAGTAGCAGGGCTGACCCAGTGCAGACACGGGGATTGGCACCAGAGGGGAGTCTGGCCCACTGACTCCAATGCAGCTATTTACATCAGTGGGTGTTTTGGCCCACTGATGCCAATGGAGTTATGCCGATTTACACCAGCTGGGGATCTGGTCCACTGACACATCAAGTGCATTCAGGTCGGTATGCAGCTGTTCCTGGCGGTACGGGTAACTGGCTGGAATCCTGCAGGGCCATGCTGTGCTGGGTGGGCTAGGTATGGGGCTGCCTGGGTCTCGCCGTCTGGAGGCGGGCAGGCAGATGGTCTGTAGAAGGGTCCGTGATTGATTTGCAGCCGAAGATGGTTTCCCAGTTGTGAGCCCGGTTAGCGCTGGTCCTTTGTGCCCCAGCTGGCCAGCCCTGATCAAAGCAGCCCAGCATCCTCAGCTGTGCATGAAGACTTGAGGCTGAAGGTCAGCAGCTGCCTAGGGGGGAGCAGCCCCCTTGTTTTGTCCAGGGAGGGCTGGGAAGGACGAGCCCTCCTTTCCCATCAGGGATCTTCCCCGTGTCTCCCCCTCTGCCACTCATTAATATCCCTGCTGCTAGCAGCACTCGCTCCCCTACTATGGTGCTGGGAACACAGGTCATTTGAGGTCCCTCTGTTTCTAATCTAGTTTGGAAGGATTTATTTTTGGGTTCTTGTAACCTAGCAATAGGTGCACGTGACCAGCGGCGGCTGCAGCCTGAATATGCATTACCTTCTCCAAGCTGCTACTCAGCAGCCGAGGAGCCCGTGCAGCCAACGCAGGCAGCTACAAAGGATTTGCCAAGCTCGGCCTTCTCTCTTGTTCTGACCGTGGCTGCTAGTGGCCTAGCCAGCTAGTCAGGGCCAGTGCTGCAAGGGAGATGGTTGAGCACTGGCAGAGCTGAGGACACTGCTGGGAGGAAGATCACAGCCCTGAGGTCCTGGCTGGTCCTGCCAGGGCCCTGCTATGAGGGAGCTCACAGCTGTAGTCTCACTGGTGCTAGCCTCGTGCAGTGGCAAAGAGGGAACAGATGAAAAGCAGCAGCATAAGCCCCCAAACCTATTAAAATGAATAAAAGGCCAGGCTGAAATGATGACCAGTCTGCTTGCTGGGGTCATGTTACTGGCTGTGTTGGGGGAGATGCCACGAAGCAGCCTACAGTTTCCAGGGGAGAAGTAGATGCTAAAAAAAGTCATGCTAGTGCCATGAAGGAAGCTAAGCAGGGCCAGATACTGTGCCCTTCAGGACCAGCTGCCAGCTGCAGCTCCGGGCAGGAGGAGACACACCTGTGCTGGGTGCCCCTACCCAGCTGCCAGGGTGCCCTGGGAGAGGTTGGAGGAACCAGAGAGTTTATTCTCTGAATGGTTTAATCTGCATCGTTTCTCCATTTCCATGTGCCGTTCCCAGAGCTGCTGCTAATCCTGTGCATTGTCGGCTCCATGCTACAGAGAAGGTTGCCAGTTTTGGTTGGACGTATGCCTGGAGGTTTCAGCGCATGACATAATCTTTAATTGCAGATTCATCTTTAATTCCTAGGGGAAACTGAGGCAAGGGGCGGGGACATGATCTGCGCAGGGTGCCCAGAGAGGCAGTAGCTGAGCTGGGAAGCAGAGGTCGGATGGTCCCATCATTAATCCAGCAGCTTGGGACTCGGGAGAGCTCGGTTCAAATCCTGCCTCTACCACAGGTTCCCCAGGAGACTTTGGGCCACGGTTAGAAGAGAGAGTTCAGGACCAGGAGAGGGGTCAGGGCTGGGAAGCCTGAGCGGGGTAGGCACCACCCTGTCACTAGGGTACCTAAGGCCCAGACCAAGGGGAGTTAGGCACTAAGTCCCTATGCGAATAGAGGCTTTAAGTCCCACCCCGTCAGCATTTCACCATGGCTGGCTGGCTTCTGCAAATGCCTTTCCGAGCCACTTGACTCTCCCCATGTGTCGGATGTGAGGCTGTGGGTAGGTTCCCCTGAGCAGCAGGGTGTCGAGGAGTTAGGTGCTGTGCTACCTAAAATCCCTTTCAGAACCTAGGCCTTCCACTCCCCAGGCTTAATTCCCCTTCTGTAACACGGGGCTAATTCCTTTCTCCCTCCTTGTCAGCTTGTGGGCTCTTCAAAGTAAGACTGTCTCCGACTCTATGTGTCTGGGCAGTGCCTGGCACGCTGGGGCCCTGATCTCGGCTGGAGCCCCTAGGGATGGCATGGCTGTGAGGCTACTACAAACAATAACCCAGGAGTCCTAGTCCCCAGCCCCATGCTTAGTCCACTAGCCCACAGCTGCTGCCCAAGCTGGGTGTTCCCTGGCTGGAAACCAGGGCCCCTGGCCCTCAAGGGTTAGACTCATACACAGTGCCTTGCCCCCAAACACTCTCCCCCTTTCCCTGTCACCATCTAGCCCCCAGTCCCAGACTCCTCCCTCACTCCCCAATGCTGCTGCTGAGACATCAGACCGCTCCCATTCTCAACTCAATCCTGCTCCGCCTCACTGGCCTTCCCCACTCCCCTCTCTGCCTCCTCAACTTCATTCCAGACAGGGCCCTTTCTGCTGCCCCCATCCCCCGCTCCTTGGGGGGTCACTACCCATCTTCCCCCTCTCCTGGAGGTTGCTCCTGACCCTGACGCTGCTCATCGTTTCAGCCCCAACCCTTCTCTTCTGATTCCCTTGTGTCCTTCACCCCCTGGGCTTTGTGCCTTCTTCCAGGCTGTCCCTACACGACATACAGATTCCTGATGGAAATGCCTCTCTCACCCACTAAAGCTTCACCTACCCCAGCTACACTGTGTCTGCCCCTGGGCTGGGCCACCAGGGCTGTGTAATCCCCATGGCACCTCATCTGTGGTCCCGTCCCTTACACAGGAGAGTAACAATACACCTGTCTTCTCTAGCAATCAGCTTTATGAAGGAGGGCAAGTATCATTGCTCCTTTGTTACACAGGAGGAAACTGAGGCACGGAGAGAGAGTGAGTGGGGAACGCAACTTGCAGGGTATATGTGGCCCTGCCAGGACTAGAACCCAGGAGTCCTGACTCCCAGGCCTGTGCCCTACCCATTGGATCATGCTATTGCCATTTTTAAATCGTTCGTGTGTGGTTTGGGTTCAGAGGAGTCAGCTGTGCTGCTGGAGTTTCTGACCTTCATGGTCTGGGCATGTTCCATTGCCCAACGTGGTAGTAGGGATATCTGCTCCTGGAAGTGCTGTCCTCCGTCACCTGGGCACGCCCCACCTCTGCAATGGCATTAGAGAGCACTGGGCACACTGGGCCATCAGTGGGGGTGTGTTTCATGCTCTGCCCCCAGCTCAGTGCTAGGACATGCTGTTCCTGATGCAGGCACTGCTGGCAGAAGCCGGACGCAGCCTGGAGGAAGCTGTTAAAGGCAATGGTTCTGACTCTCTTGGGAACGCTGTGGGGCTGGCCTGGCATTAGAAGGAGGCTGGATGCTTTGCAGGCAAGGCCTTGACCTGCACTCCTTATCCCTGGTGTGAGCCGTGGACAGGGGCAGGACCAGGTATATCAAACTGCAAATAAGGAGGCCTTTAGGACCCAGAAATCTTGATGATCTCCAAGCTGCCGGCTGCCTCTCACCCTTCACTGCAGTGGCTCTGTGCATCATCTCCAGTGGAGGAGCATCAGCTGAGAGGTCCCCAGTACTCTGGCAAGCTGCACAGGGAAAGGTAGGAGCTGATGCCTGGATTGGGGACAGGAGAGGGCTGGGTCCGGCTAGGCTGCAGCATTTCTCTCTGCATCCCCAGGTATCTGGAGTGTCTCAGTCGATGGGAGAAACGCACAGAGCCAAGTCCAGTCTCCTGACTGAAACCTCAAGGAGCTGGAGCGGAACCGGAGCTGGGCACCCGAGCTCTGGCCACCAGGGACTCCAGGATCCATTTTAATGGAGGGGCGAGGACCTGAGCTGGGCGGAGGCAGCCCTTCAGAGGGTCACGCTGGAAGCCAGTTCAGCAGCACCAGGGCGAAGGAATGAGCAGGGCCAGGCTGGATTTCGCTCTGCTCGCCTAGCCTGGCTCTCTTCCCTTCCGCCCCTGGCCGGGGCCTGCTGGCAGGATGCTGGGGCTCGCTGCGCAGGTGGAAAGCACAGGGTAAGAATCCTGCCCCCTGCAAGGGGAAGGGCGCGTGGACAGAAGTGAAGGGTCTAGTGGGAGGCTGTGGGGGCAGCCTGAGCAGGAACAGGGGAGGAGGGTCACCCTTGGATTGATCAGGTTGGCTCATGCAAACTGGGCACAGCATCACGGTGGGCATCCGCTGGGTAGAGAGCAGCCTGCCTAGGGGCCTGGGCGAGTAAAGCATCCTGTGTTCAGGGGCTGATCGGGATCAAGATCGGAGCAGTGAGAGTGGAGGGAGCTGGGGGTGGGCAGGGGAAAGAGAACACAGAACACACCAGCCAGCCATCTCGCCCTGTACCCTGCATCTCATGGTGCCCAACACCAGATGCTGCAGATGAAGGATAATGTTGTAATACCATTCCCCCAGAAGGGGGTTCTTCCTGACCCCCAACTGGCAATCAGCTGGCACCCTGAAGCACAAGAACTGATAGACCTCTGATCCCAATCAGTACCGCTACAGCCATGGTGCCTGTGGGTGTGACTCCAGTGAGTTCGCTGTAGTTGCACCTGCTCCGGCTAGGGCTGAGCATTCCCCAGTGTTATTATCCCAGTGCCTTTGCCTTGCCTGTCCCACAGCGCTATGCCTCAGGAATATGCACCAGTGTCGGGTGGGTCGGGCGGGGGAGAGATTTGCTGAATTTGAACAGGTTTCATCTGCTAGGAAAGGTGCTTGGTGACAGAGTTGCCCATTTACTACCATGCTGCTCCTCTGGGGGGGAACGGGCTCCTGAGGGCTGGTGGACGTCCTCCATTGTCATGGGTGGCTACATGGACTGGGGGAGAAGCTCCCAGCGTGGATCACACAAAGGTAGAGCTGCCTCGCAGTCTTTGTGATCTGGATTGCATGCACTTCCCCTTACTCCCTGCTTTGTGCCAGCTACACCCTGCAAATGCCAGCACTGAGTGCCCGCAGCCCCAGTAGGAAACTGCAATGGCCCATTTGTGCTGAGATCCCATTTACTGTTGTGAACTAAACACGGCTGGGCTAGGTGAGTCATTCAGTAGGGGGCTAACTCCACTGCTCCAGCATGGCCCTTGGGGGCAATGGACGGTAAGGAGCATTATGAGTGGAGTCCGTGCTGACCCCAATGCCACAGTATGGTGCTAGGTGTTGTGTTGCTGCTAGAAGTACTGTGGGTGAGTCAATGGGGGCGCTCTTCCCTCTGAGTCAGGGCTGACCCCAATTCTTCAGCCTACTGTTAGTGGGTGCTGTGCCCCACTTCTCATTTATGCTCTAGCCCCTTTACATTGCGGAGTAAATTACTCCCAATTTCAGATCCCTTCCCACTGCCAGAGTAGTACTGGGAAGACTTATGTTGCTGAGAGTTAGGCCTGACATTTTTAATCGGCAATAACATTAATTGTACAGTATCCAACCATCCTTTTTTCCAAGTCAATCCTACGGTGCAAGCCAGGCAGTGCGTTGCTGTTTCCCCATTTAGGGATGCTTGACTGATCAGCAGATTTCTGAGCCGGTAACAGCTGTATTACAGTAACTCCTCACTTAAAGTCGTCCTGGTTAACATTGTTTCGTTATTAGGTTGCTGATCTATTACAGAACATACTCATTTAAAGTCGTGAAATGTTCTGTTATAAGGTAGTTTGGCTCACCCTGCTCCGCCCGCCCAGCGCTCCTGCCAGGGAGCGGTGTCAGGGTGCGGGGGCTTGCCCCGTTCCACCCGCCCGGTGTTCCAGCCTGGGAGTGGGCAAGCCCCTGTCCCCACTCCCCGGCAGGAGTGCCAGGTGGGCGGAAGAGGGCCAGCCCCCATGCCCCAACCCCGCTCCCTGTCTGGAATGCCAGGTGGGCGGAGTGGGACAAGCCCCAGCGCCCCAACCCCACTCCCCGGGAAGAGCACTGGGTGGGCGAAGCAGGGCAAGCCCTCATGCCCCGACCCTGCCCCTGCCTCAACCAAGCTTCACAATCATCATTGGTGATACAGTATTAAATTGTTTGTTTAAAATTATTTAAAACTTATACAGGATACGTATATAATGTCTTTTGTCTGGTGAAAAAAAATTCCCTGGAACCTAACCCCCCCCATTTACATTAGTTCTTATAGGGAAATTGGATTCGCTTAACATTGTTTCACTTAAAGTAGCATTTTTCAGGAACATAACTACAGCGTTAAGCGAGGAGTTACTCTACTGATTTCCATCAGTGGTCAATATAGATATTGACTATTCAGACGGCTGCAAATGTTGTTGCTGTTTGCTGAAATGTTGCCCTGTCTGTTCTTTCCCTGTAGGTGCCCTCCTCCCCAGGTGCTGCTTTCAGCAGATCCATTAACCACTACTTCACCTGTTGGGGAGTTTTCCATCAGAGCAATTCCGTGTTTAGGAATCAAATTTAGGGCCAGATCTTCAGCCTTAGTTCCATTGGAGTCTATGGAGCAAAGCCAATGATCACCAGCTGAGGATCTGGTATGTCTGAGCTCTCCCACACCATTAGATTCAGGATACATAGCTCTGCTGAAGCTGCCATCTGAGCACCCAGAACTAGATCTGTGTGGAGAATGGGAATTCTGTGCTGCAAAGGATTTTGAGATTTCAAAATCTGGCTTCATTCTGAATCCGAGTGAAAACTGAACATTTTGAAATTCTCCACTCAGGAAAATTCTGAAAAGAAATTCATTTCCAGTCCCTTGTGCTTCGATTTTTTTTTTCAACTTTGTGTGATGTTAGAATATCGTACCAACCAAAATCAGCGAAAATGAAAAGTTATTTAAAAACAAAATATTGAAATGTTTTGTTCTAAAAATGTCAAAATGGAACATTGCAACATTGCTGCAACTCCTCCTACCCAATAAAATTGCAGCAAAATTGACCAGATTTCACAGAGTGTTTCAATTTCAATGGAAGTGCATTTTCCCAGGGAATATGATTCCATCAAAGTTCCTTCAACTGGCTCTCCCCAGACCCTTTGGTGTCACATGTGTTTCCACAGCTGGTGGCAATAAGTTCCCTTCTAAGCTTGAGGCTTAGCCCATGTCTACACTACTGGTGCTGCGGTGACATAGCTATGACGCTGTAGCACCGTGGTGTAGATGGTTCCTACGGCAACGGAAGTGGTTTTCCCATCACTGTAGAAAATTCACCTTTCCAAGTGGCGGTAGCTACATGGATGGAAGCATTCTCCTGCCGACCTAGCCACATCTAGACTGGAGGGTTTTCCACACCCCTGAGCAAAGTCACTATGTCAATCAGTGTTAAGTTTAGACCAGGCATTGAAGTTCGGTTTTTTTTTTTCCATTTTGGCTAATTTCATCAAGCTGCATGTGCCTGGTGCACTATTTTAGGTTGGGTGCATGCTGACAAGTTGTATTCCATCACTACATTGATCAGGGATGTGAAAAACCCACCCCTGAGCATGGGAGCTATGCCAACTAAAGCCCCAGTGCAGATGCAGCTCCGTCGGTGGAAGAGGGTCTCCATTGACATAGCTAGCTTTGTTCGGAGAGGTGGCGTTCCTAAGTGACAGAAATCCCCCTTCCGGCAGCATAGGCTGCGGCTATGCTATGGGATTATGGCAGTCTGGCCTCCATAGTGTAGATATACCCTGATGCTGGTGTCACAAGGTGAGGTGGCTCTTCAAGGCCTGGTCTACACTAAAAAGTTAAGTTGATCCGGCTAAGTTACCCAGGGGTGGGAAAAATCCACACACACACCCCCGAGTGATGTAGTCAGCTGACCTGACCCCCAGTGTAGACAGTAGTAGGGCAACAGAAGAATTCATCCGCTCTCGCCTCTCAGGGAGGTGGATTCCTACTCCAGCTGGCAAGCCCCTCTCATGGCTGAAGTGAGTGGCTACACTGTTGTGCTTGTGCCACTGTAGCAGTTTGTGTAGATGTGAAGCTGGGGCCCAGCCCACCTTCCCAGGTGGAGGGAATAAGTCCTGGGGTTTAGGGTTTACAGTGGACTTGAAGTTGAACCCAGAAGAGGTGGGCTTAGCTGGAGGGCTAAGTCACTAGTGACCTGACAGCACTGGGAGCTGATGAATGACTGACACTAAGGGGAAAGTGAGGCAGAGTCTGATGCTGGGTTTGGAGAACGCCTGCTATAACTGGATTATCCCATATGACCCATTGATTGGAACTGCTGTTATATTCAGAGGGGTAGCATGCAAGTAAGCCATACTTATTACAGAGATGTGTAAGGTGCCCAGCACTGTGATTCTCAGTGATACTGAGGCTCATTTATGAAGCTCTAGCAGCAAGATGCACTGGTAGAAATAACTGTATCAAGTATGGGGCACTGAAGAATCGGATCCCCTGAGTCCTGTGGGGTTTTATACCTCTCAGAAAATGGGCTCTGATCTCTGTTGTGAGCATGAAAGATCTTAGCGTGCTTTCTCCCAAAAGTAAGGATGTGAACCTGATGTCCTGGCCAAATTCCAGGTTAGGTAATTACATTCGGATGGCCTAAATTCCCCTTGTAGTTTCAAGTGGATATGGTCTTCTTCACTCTCTGTGCTCAGCAACGGGGCAGTGTTGTGGTGTGCTGTTAAACAGCTGCTGTGCTCCACTCCAGAAGTGTTTGCATTTCAACTGTGAGCAAAGTGATTCCTACCTAGCTAAAGCCTGTGAAATACTTTAGCATTCCCTTGGGATGGAAGGTGCTGTGTGATTGTAAGGTACTAGTTTACCATCTGACAGGGGAACAATCCCAACTCCTGTCCTTTCAGGGAGGTTATTTTTCTGGTATACTTTGTAAACTGGGCGGAGGCTCCACAGGGGACACTTCCACTCCCTGTGTGAGGACAACACCAGCCAGTTTCTGAGTGACAGGAAACTCCCAAACGCTGGGATGGCCAGGAACAGGAACCCGCTGACATACACAAGCCCATGAAATATGCTAGACCTCTGATAATGGGGGACTCCCAAGATTCACTGCTTCCCTGAGAATGGTAGGCAGGGGGTATGGAACACCCTACGCCCCCAATAATGAGGCTACCTCTCAAATATAATGGATGCCTAAGAAACAGGAGATCCCCTAGAATACGCTGAACATCCCCAACATCACAGACCCCCGGCAATACACTGAAGGCTCATACACCAGGGAATCCCAAGCACTCTGAAACATACAGGCCCCTTGGACGAGATCTGGCGAGCTCAGGCGCAGACCCAGCTGGCACAGCGGCCAGTGAGAGCTGGAGCCACAGGGCTAGGACCTGGTGTAAATCCACTTTGCTCCAGTGATCAATATAGAGCTATGGCCCTTCAGTGGAGTGGTGCTGATTACACCAGCTGAGAATCTTGGACAATTTCAGGGCTAGCTGAGAGCAGGGAGGTGGGGATGGCCGGAGGAGGTTGATGGGGCATCAGCCACCATGAGCTGGAAACACCACTGGCCCTCTGTGGATGGTTTCTTTCTGTGGGTGAGCATAGCTCAACCTTCCTCTGCCTTTCCTGGGATCTGGGGTATGGAACAGCCACGCACTATTCTGAGGCAGCCCTGAGGCTCCCAGTGCGACGGGTTGGTGGAGAATCCTGAAAGAACCCGAAACTCCTATGACATTGTTGCAGAGTCAGCAGGCCCCGCTGGTGAGGTGAAAGAAATGTAGGGACCTGGGGATCACCAGACTGGATCAGACTGAGGGCCCATCTAGTCCAGGATCCTTTCTGGGACAGTGACCAGCACCAGCTGCTTCAGAGGAAGGTGCAGGCAGGGCCGGCTATAGGCACCAGCGTTCCAAGCATGGGCTTGGGGCGGCACTTTTCAAGGGGTGGCATTCCGGCCCTTTGGGACGGCACCTTTGCTTCAGCGGCGGCACTCCGGGTTTTGTGTTGTTGTTTTTTGAGGCGGCACTTGGCACTCCGGATTTTTTTTTTTGCTTGGGGTGGCAAAAAACCTGGAGCTGGTCCTGGGTGCAGGAAACCCACAGTAATAGGCAGGCATGGGGCAATATGCCCCCCCACCCGCCCCGGGAAAATCTCGCCCATTCCCTAATAATGATAAAGGGTTTACCCCGTCCATTTTGGGATCTTAGGAGATACCCCTGGAGTTGGAAACCAGGGTCCAAAGCTGGGAGGAGCCCTTGGAGCAGCAGAGGGGCTGGAATCCTCCCAAACTCAAAGTGGTTTCATGGATTAGCAGCATCAGATAGGACCCTGGGGGGCAGAACCTGACCACTGTCCTCGGTGTGTACTCAGATCTGCGTCCCTGATTCAGCAAAGCACTTACGAACATGCTTGAGTGTACGCATGTGCTCCAGTGTGTCCGTCCTTTCAGCAAAATTCCCATTGTCAGCACAAGCCCAGGGTTTGGCCCTGGCTCTCGGCTTAGCCGATGCAGTGATTAACGTGGAATTACATTTCTTTGTAGGTGCTAAGCTTTGCTGCGGAAAAGCGAGCAGCAAGATGAGATACCAGGAGGGCTGAAAACAGGTGGGAGACCCTTAGCCAGCGCACAGCCCCATCTGCAATCCCATGGCCTTTCTGGACCAGAAGGCATCACTCACCCAAGCACAATCCAGCAGGACAGAGACAAGGGTGCGAAATTCGGTGCAGCTGAGCAGCAGGATGGCCAGTGTAACCCAGCGGCATCGGGAAGTGTAAATGCCCTTGGAGCATGGACTTGTCCTCTGGGGCTTGGCAGCTGGTGAAGGAGCCAGCCAGAATGTGAGTCTGTTGACTGGGATTGCTCCCTCTCCACTGGCTAATTCTCTCGGATTACTCTAGGGGACCCAGAATAGGATGGATGATGGACCTGTGAGGGGAGGTGCCGTGGGCGTCGACACCAGTCTCCATGGAGCCTTCACTCCCTACACAGTGGGCGTGGAATTCCTCCAGGCCTGGAAGACTGCTCCATATGTCCCAGAGCACCATGCATCCCAATTCCACCCTAGACACCAAGACCAGGGACGTGGCCTCAGAATCCATTGGGCTCTTCTTCATGCTCTTGATTGACCTGACGGCCATTGTAGGCAATGTGGCCGTGATGATCGTCATCATCAAGACACCAGCACTGAGGAAGTTTGTCTTTGTTTTCCACCTCTGTCTGGTGGACCTCTTGGCAGCCCTGACCCTCATGCCTCTGGCCATGCTGTCCAGCTCCGCCTTCTTCAACAGCACCATCTTCGGCGAGGCCATGTGCCGTGTCTACCTCTTCCTGAGTGTCTGCTTCATCAGCATGTGCATCCTCTCCATCTCGGCCATCAACGTGGAGCGCTACTACTATGTGGTGCACCCCATGCGCTATGAGGTCAAGATGACCGTTGGCCTGGTGGTCTGTGTCCTGGTGGGGGTGTGGATCAAGGCAGTGGTCATGTCCGTCATCCCTGTCCTGGGCTGGCTCTCCCTGGATCGTTTCAGCACCTCCCCAGCCTACAGCGGCCGGAGCTGCTCACTGCAGTGGAGCCAGAGCTCCTACTGCAAGTTCTTTGTGGTTTTCTTTGCCATCTTCTACTTCCTCCTGCCTGTCCTGATCATCCTAGTGGTCTACTGTAGCATGTTCAAGGTGGCCAGGGTGGCTGCCATGCACCATGGCCCACTCCCCACCTGGATGGATACACCGCGGCAGCGATCAGAATCCCTCAGTAGCAGGTCCACCATGGTGACCAGCTCGGGTGCCCCTCGGACTACCCCTCAGAGGACGTTTGGGGGTGGGAAGGCTGCTATCATTCTCCTAGCAGTTGGAGGGCAGTTCCTCTTCTGCTGGATGCCCTATTTCTCCTTCCATCTCTATTCGGCTCTGAGCTCTCAGTCCTTCCCTGGCCGGCAGGTGGAGAGTGTAGTCACCTGGATTGGCTACTTTTGCTTCACTTCCAACCCTTTCTTTTACGGGTGCCTCAACCGGCAGATCCGTGGGGAGCTCAGCAGGCACCTCACATGCTTCTTCAAGCAGCCGCCAGAGGAGGACCTCCGGCTGCCCAGCCGCGAAGGCTCCATCGAGGAGAACTTCTTGCAGTTCCTGCAGGGGACAGGCTGCAACACAGAGAGCAGGAACGTTCTTGCCCACCCCTCTCCCAAAAGGGAGCCGCCCGGCGTCGATTTCCGAATCCCCGGGCAGATTGCAGAGGAGACCTCGGAGTTCCTCGACCAGCACATCATGGTCTCCGACAGCTACATTCAGGCCGTGCCCAAGCCCGAGCTGTAGCAGACCTTTGCACTTGACAACCTAGTCTTTCTGACGTGTGGAATAATGCAGAACCCCCAGCTGTCGACAGGGCATGATTTCCTAATAAACACAACCATGGCGACTGACGCGTCCTCCCTCCACCTGAGCGCCTACGCTGACAAGCAGCTGGTTCTGGTGGCTGAGTCATTTTGGCTGGCTAAGATCAATATCGTAGCATTTCTATGATTTGTCCCTTTTCCATTTGGAGCAGAAACAGCCTCTTGGGTTAAAAATTCCCTGGAATTTCCTATTTGTCCCTTGTAAGTTTCCAAAAGGCCCTGGCTCAGATGTGAGGGGCTGGGCTAGCTGATCTCTCGAGGTCCCTTCCAGCTCTATGTTTCTATGAGTCTATGAAAAGAGCATTGATTTTTTAATCTCTAATTCAATATCCTCTAAACCCTTTATGATCTGATTCCTACCCTTCAACTGTGTCGTGTCCCTAGCCTCTGTTCATCAGAGGGTGGAGATGGATGGCAGGAGAGAGATCACTTGATCATTGCCTGTTAGGTTCACTCCCTCTGGCATTGGCCACTGTCGGCAGACAGGATACTGGGCTGGATGGACCTTTGGTCTGACCCAGTGTGGCCGTTCTTATGTTATGTTCTTAACTGCGTGAACCTACCTCCATCCCAGTTAAGGTTACCACCTTGGTCATATTTTAAAAATGGACACTCCAGCAGGAATGCCAGAACCTCCCCTGCCCTGCCTCTTCCCCCCAAGGCCCCACCCCTGCTCTGCCTCTTCCCCCCAAACCCTGCCCCTGCCCTCCTCTGCCCCCATTCCCTCCTCTTTCTCCCTCCCTCCCATCGCTCACTGCTTTTCCCCTCCCACCTTCCCCCTGCCTCCCCAAGGGTCAGGAGGGACTCGCCTGCAGAGCTCGGAATAGAATAGAAGATCACGGTTGGAAGGGACCTCAGGAGGTCATCTAGTCCAGCCCCCTGCTCAAAGCAGGACCAATCCCCAACTAAATCATCCCAGCCAGGGCTTTGTCAAGCCTGACCTTAAGCTTCAGAATGGGAGCTTCAGCCACCTGCGACACAGGTAGGAGGCGGCCCCGGCTGAGTAGGGGCTGGTGCAGGTGATGACCCAGCGCCTCCCCCGCCCACAGTAACCAGACTTTGGGTGTCCAGTCAGTAGTTCTGACTGGACACCATCAGGTCCCCTTTTCTACTGGACTTTCTGGTCGAAAACTGAGCACCTCGCCACCCTAATCTCAGTAGGAAAAGGGAGACCGCTGGGATCCCCGCCACCATGCCGCTTCCCTGATTTGACCCCACTGAGATCCCTTCGGGGAGGAGGGAGAGCACAAGCTTGGGCCAGGACGCTCCTGGCTGGGCCTTGGACAAGGCATGGCGGAGCCACGTGTCTGTGGAAGGAGCAGGTGGAGACTCAGACGAACCCGTTCAAGAGAATGTAGCTGAACTAGTGACCTTTGATCAGGCCATGAGACAAGGGTTTCCTAGGAGCCAGCCCCATCTCCTCCCACCCAGCCCCCAGACTCCAACACAGCCTCCCACCAGGCATGCCCTGAACCTAGCACAGGCTCCAGCACAATCTCCCTCCCTATCCCATGGTCTTCCAGCAACCCCTCCCCAGCTTGGCCCAGGCTCCTTGCTCTGTCTCAAGCTCCTCCAAAGTGCTGCTGGACTGATGACACCTGCCCAGCAGGAGGTGGGCTGTGGGTCTCTTCCCCCCTCCCCAGCACCTCAAGTGCTGGGCCCTACGCTCCCCGCAACCCGCACTCTTCTCCCACCCTGTCCCGCAGTGCTGCTCCATGGCCTGGGATTGGATCCCCTGCCCCTGAACCCAAGGGGAGCCCCTGCCCATGCATGGCCCAGCTCAGACACCAGATACAGCCTTCGCCCCAGAGAACAGAGCTGCTGCTAGATGGGAGGCCGTGCCCCAGGGCAGGCTGTCCCGGGCGCTGGGTAGGGGGAAGGGAACAGTGATAGTGATTTGTTTGTATTGACATTAATCATCTTTTCCCTTCCAGAACCGCCCCCTCTGGTCTGTCTGCCTGTGGCAGAGGGGACTCTAACGCAAGGAGCCCATGTGATGCGTGAGTGGGGCAGCCGCAGGGCTAAGTCATCCCCGCTGGTTGGTCCCCTCATGGGATCTTTGATCACTGGCAGAGACTTAGGAACCGTGATCAGAGCCAGGCTGAACCTGAGCCTTCGCCCATCACACGGCTCAAGGTAGGGGCGAGGTGGGATCCAAGCTGCATTTATCCAAACACCTTATCTGCTTGGGTCTGGCCCTGCCCCTCTCTGTCAAACAAAACGGGGGGGCGGGGCGGGGGAGGGTTTGAGTCTGGCAAGACCTCAGTGGTCAAACTTTGGGCTTGCTGAACAAGGGAGCGGTTCCGATCCCGGTCCTATTTATTTGACCCCACCCCCGCCCCCAGGCAATTCAGTGCAGGGCGATGGGGCAGGGGGAGGGGAGAGGGGTTCTGGTTTTGTCTCATCTCAGCTCTTGAGAGCCAGAGAGGAGAATGGCATTCACATCTCAGCCCGTGAACAAAGATCTGCTCAGTCAACCAGCCTCAGCCTGCTGGGATCCCTGGCAAAACTGCCCTGGGGCATGGACAGAACGGGGACAGAGCCCCATGTAATCAGCAAGCCTTTCCCAGCTGGGCTGGAGAATGGGAAATAGCCAGGAGAAGAGGCCCAGCCACCTTTGCCATGGGATTATGCACTAACCTCAGCTGGGGGGTATCCTGATCTCAGAGCCTGCAGGGGCTCGCTCTGGCTGGGAGCGCTCTCTCCAGGCGGGTCCTGTGCGCTAAGCTGGCGAGCCAGCACACCCAGCTGAGCAGAACCGTCTGAGCTCCGTCACCGCTTCCCGAGGGCTAGGACTCTCGAGGATGTTCATGTAGGACGGTTTCAACCTGGAGCACCAAATAAAACTCTTTATTATGAAACATGGCTCCCTGCCTGCGTGGGACCTGGTGGGCTCCGAGCCCTGCTGCTCAGAACAAAGGGTCCTGAACAGGACACCAGGAATGTCATCCTGCTCCGATGGGGCTTTTAGCTGTGGCCAGGTGGGTCTTGCTCTAATGGAAACTAGTCTCTCTCTCTCCTGGCCTTGTCAGCTGTAGCTGAGCTCAGGACAGGGCAGAGTCAGTGATTTCAACACAGGGCTCTGGTCACAAATCCGGAGTCAGGTGAACTGCATTCTGTGCCCCATGTGACCTTGGGTCCGTAACAGGCCAAGAGCCCCCCAAGTGGGCATGAAGCTAGATTCCCAAATCCACATTGAGGCACTTAAGGAAGCAGCCTGGTTGTCCCATGGTACTGAGTGCCCAGCAGCTCCCCTTGACCCCCATTCGAGCTTTGGGTGCTCAGCACCTGAGAAAATTAGGCTCAAGACTGCTCCATGCCTCAGTTTCCTCCTTTGCGGACCAAGGATGAGGATACTGACCTGCCTCGCCACAGGCTCGGAGCCTGAACTCAGATGCAATGCTTGGGTAGAGCAGGCTGGCAGAGCAAGGAGCACTCTGTCAACTGGGGCCGTTTCTCCAGAGATCTCAAAGCACGTCACAGAGGTGGGTGAGTGCTAGTACCGGCCCCGTTACAGCTGGGGCAGCGAAGACACAGAATTGGTGACGTGACAGTGAGCTCATAGCAGAGCTGAGAATGGGACTCAGGAGTGCTGCCTCCTCATCCATTCACCTAGCTGCCTATGTGCAGGACCCTGGCGGGCAGAGGGCTGCTAGTGGGCTGTGAGCTCTGGCCCTTGCTCTTCCTGGAGCAGTGGGACTCAGGCAGGCTGCTGGGCTCCCCTGAGACTACCCCACTGAAATGTGCCAGGGGCTAGAGCTCCAGGGCAGAGGAAGAGCTGCAGCCCTTCGCCCAGATTCACAAAGGGACTTAGGTGCCTCCATAGGCATGCACAGACCTGCCCGAGTCCTGGCACTGTCCCACAGCGAATGAGCTGCTCAGAGCCCTGGCAGGATTCTCAGACTAGGCATTCCCCACCTAGCTCACCTGCAGGCACTTGACCCAGACCCTTCCCCAGCCTAGCTGAGGGCCTGAACCACTGGGCTCTACTGTCAGTCTCTGGCCCAGTGAACACTATTTATACTCAGTGGAGCAGCAGACAGCCCCCGCCCAGTGTACCCTGAGGATTGGGGCACTCGCCAGCCAGCTGGCAGACGCAAGTTGGGCTCAAGTCCCAGCTTCCAATCAAGCAGAGATGAGACTTGAAGACAGGTGAGTGCCCAGGCTGGAACGGGGTGGGGTCTCTGCTTATTCCTAAGAAAGGCTTGACTTGCTGGCATGTTTAACTCCCGGAGGGAGCTCCAGCTGGGGATCTGGAGCAGAGAGGGGCTCCTCCCTTTGGCTCCTCAGTCAAGCACCCAAGGCCCAGATGAATTGGAAGTGTGAATCTGGGCTTAAGCCCTGCCCCTCCCCTCTGCATGTCAGCTGGCTTAGGCAGTTCCCCGCTCAGCGTGCTAGTTTCTGAGGCTCCCTCCCCAAGCACTCGTTCAGGGAATCTGGGGGCTGTGACTCACAGGGCAACTAGGAGCTAGGTCCTGCCTTCGGAAGGGGAGTTTGGCAACTGGCATCTGCACGCTTGGTAGCCAGTGTCCAATAGCCACAAACAGGATAATCATGAGGGAAGGCAGTAGTGTCTAGTGGTTAGAGCAGGGGAACGCTGCCTGAGTCTTTCTGGGTGAGTCATGGCCCTCTCTGTGTCTTTGTAACAATGGGCAGTGCCACTACAGGGGCCTCGGCTGTAATAGCTGGGTCTCGTTTTGGGCATTGGGCTGTGATACAGGCGGTTGGACAGTGATGTGGGGGTCCCCTCTGGCCTGGAGTGCCATCACCCTAAGAACTTTATGACTCATTTACACTCCTCCCCAGAGTGGTGTGCGATTCAGCCAGTTGGTCTAGCACCCAGGAGTGACATGGGTGCTAATGAGTGTGAAGTGCTTTGAGATCCCCAGGAAACAGGCATTGGGCTGGTGCGAATGATTGTGACAGCCCAGGCCTGGGGATGCAGGACAGCTGTGTTCTAGCCATGGCTCTGCTACTGGCTCACTCTTCTGCGCCCTTCCCCCCTGTCCATGCTGTTTGAGGCAGGGGCTGTATGTGCAGCACCCAGCACGATGGGGCTGTTGCCTCGCTCAAGGCCTCCTTGTTTCTCTGTATGATGAATAATAACTCTAGGGAGCTGCAGGGCTTGAGTTGTGACTGTGTTGCACCAGCAGACGCACTGCCAGCAGAAGCCCTCCATGCCCAGCTGGGGATCCCAGAGGAGGAAGATGTCTGAGGGATGCAGCTTTCATCTCCTGTTGTTGGCTGCAGCCTGGGCAAGTGGCCTTTTCAAAAACCAATCTTTGCACATTTTTGCTAAGGGGGCCTCACATGGGGGTGGGGGCAGCTCCATCTGGGGGGCCTGAGTCCCATGTGTTCCACATACACCCCTGGAGCCTTTTGTTCTCCTCCCCAGGCTAGCCTTGCTGGGTCTCTCTGGTAGAAGGTGCCTCTGGCCCTAGTACATGGTCAGGTTCTGAGCCTCAAGGCACTGTGGTGCATGGTCAGGCTCTGAGGCACCTGGCTCAGTTCCTCCCCTCTGGGATCAGGCCCCCTGGCTGGGAATGCACTCAGCGAGCACGGTGTTTGCAGCCAGAAAGCTGAACCCCAACCGCCTTGTGATAGATCAAATGTCCTGGCAACCCTGCTCTTGGGATCCCTCCTGGGGAGTCTCTCTAGGGCCTGCAGG